TGATCAGTGTACTGATCCATTGTTGAGATCATAATTTTTATTACTTTATTTTTATTAGTGCAGGTGTTATGCCTTGTGTCTAGATGCCCCTGCCCTGCAAAGCCTCATATGGTCACAGGTGGGGCTTTTCAGAGGTAGCTGGATCTAGAGTGTGTTATGCTGGAATTAAATGTGTGATTCTGGGATAAAGGGTGTGTGATTACTAAATTAGTTCACTGATTGGTTTGGCATAGTTCTGGGTGTGGATAATGAGAAGGCCCACCCTGGGTGAGTGCTACTTGTCCTAAGGGTGTATAGCCTGGACAGAATATAAGGAACAAATGGAGGGATGCTGTGATGGTTTTGCTGCTTCCTTGTTCCTTCACTGATTTGCTGCCTTCTGCCCACCATGAGCTGTTTCTCTTCTGTGATGTTCCTCTGCCATGACACTCTGCCTTGGAGCCAGCTGATTATGGACTAAAACCTCTACAAACTGTGAGCTACAGTAAACCTTTCCTCCTTTAAATTTGGGTGATGGGTATACTGTCTCAGCAATGAGAAAAAGTAACAAAAACAACAGTTTGCAGTACATAATGTTTATATTCTTTATGTGGAGTTGGTACATGTACATAACACATCTTAATTCCTTTTCTCATCCCATTTTCCTCCTCTCCCTCTCCACTCCCTCCATCTCTTTACCCTCTTCCCATTTGCAAAAGATGTCTGCTTCCTATTATCTTTTAGTTTGCTCTTTATTTATAATTTGTGTTTTTCATATAAAAGTAACCATATGATATTTAAACTTGTGTGTCTGATTTATTTCACTTAACAGTATGGTCTCAAGGTATATCCATTTTCCTACAAGTGACTCAAATTTATCCTTCTTTATGGCATAGTACTCGACTGTGTGTAAATGCCACATTTCTTTATTCATTCATCTGTTGATGGACATACAGGCCCCTTCCAAGATTTAACTATTATGAATTGTGCTGCTATAAACATGGCTATGTGTGTATTATTGTCATATGATGTCTTTAATTCTTCCAGGAAGATGCCTAGAATACAGTAGTTGGGTCAAATGGAATTTCTAGCTTTAGTTTTTTTAGGAATCTCCATACCAATTTCTATAGTATTTTACATTCTCACCACCAATATAAAAGGGTTCCTTTTTGTCTGCAGCCTTGCCAGCATTTGTTATTATTTGATTTCTTGGTGGCCATTCCTTCTGGGCTAAGATGGAATCTCAGTATTGTTTTAATTTGCATTTCTCTAATGGCCAGCAATGTTGAGCACTCCTTCATGTATTCATTGGTCATCTGTACTTCTTCTGTGATGGCATAATTGGGGAGTTATGAAAATAAGGGGCAGGACATGGGGATATAATCTTGTGAACTATACCTTGTTCTTAGTCCCTTCCTCTGTCCTTGGCCCTTTCTTTCTCTACTTCCGGGCTGCTGCCAGTTAAGCAGCTTTCCTCTGCTTCACCCTGCCACCATGATGTTACTACCTCACCTCAGGCCCATGACAATAGAGCCAGTCAACCATGAAATGAAATTTCTGAGACTCTGAGTCAAACTATACTTTTCCTCTTTTAAGTGAATTTATGTCAAGTATTTTGTCACAGCAACAGAAAGCTAACACAGTAGCTGTGCAGTCTTTGGCAATTTGCTTAACCCCTGTGTACTTGGCTTCCTCCCTGGAAAATGGGGATAACAATAGCAGTTGACTTAGCGGGTTGTTACAAAGCACAACACCTGCCTGGCTGTATATTCAGCTGGAATGCAGATAGGAGAAGCGGGGAGTAAGAATCTTTTAGGAAGTTTTCCCAAATATAGGTATCCCTCAGTATCCAAACTGTTACTATGTTGAGGCAAGGATGTGTCTGTTCAGGGAGTGAGGGAGGGATGTTTTCATGTGTGTCTGGATTGCACCTGCCCCAAATATCCCACAACCATCTATCAAATCTCTTGGTGGCATGCTGATGGGAACTTGCTACCAGAACCATGGTGGCCTTCTCTGCATCTGCCCTTCCAGTTTTTAGGCTCATCTTGCTATCAGTGGGACACACACAAGCAAGCATATGTCCTGCCATATTGCTGCTAACTCAAGGTTCTCCTGCCTGACATCTGTGCCTCTAGGCACATTTTAAGCAAACTTATCCCACTTTCAATTACCTATCTCAGAAGATTGTGGCGGGATTAAAGGACATTTGTGAAGTATCTAATGTAGTGCTTGGCACAGAACAAGCATTGGACAAATGTCAGCTCCCGCGAAAAAATGGATTTTGACAGCTATTTGTTTTGCACCCCTTCAGAGTGCCTAGGACAAGGCTATGCCTACAGCAAGCTCCTAGATCCTGCCTGCCAGTACATTATGAAGTTTAAGGTGGACCTGTTAACTGAACTACTGACCCAAATCATTTCTTCAGCCTCTGGAGGAAGATTCTGTGTGCCAGGAATGGACCCTATAAAATGCAAACGCAGTACTTGAAAGGTGGGGGAGGGGCTATTAAATACGTGTTAAGGGTCAGTTAGCGTGCGCTAGGGTTTGATCCGCTAGGACTCCAGCCAGGGACATCTGTTGGGGGAAAAAAGGACTGAGAGAAGCCAAGACCGCATGTGTGGGGGTGGATCCTGGATCCCCAAAGCTGGAGCTGCGGAACAGAGGATGAAGATCTGGAGAAAAGAAAGATGAATGGAGATGAAAACACTGTCCCAGGACCTGTCACATCTCTTTATTTTTCTCCCAGGTGATCTCAACCGCCCCACTCTGCCTTTTCCCAGGCCTCGGTAGCCCAGAGCCGTGGTTTGCTAGCAGTGGCCTGTGAAGGCTCTGTGGTTAAGGTGTGAGCTCAACTCGCAGCGGGGCCGCTGCCAGGGCGGAGCAAACAAGAAGCCGGCACTTCCCGCAAGCCAGTCTGGAGACCAGTGCCTCTGCGCAGGCCCAGAAGGTTCTGAGAACTGCTCCCTCCCTTACGGCTTCGGGAAGCAGGAGCCTCTGTAGCTGCGTCCCAGTGCCTCACAGCCTGCCCTCTCACACCTGATCAACCCGGTCTCCAAAGACCCCGTGAGATGGTGCCCTACAAGACTGCAAGGCTCCTCCACAAACCTGCCATAAAGCCTTAGGCGGTTACCTAGATCTTGTCTCCCTGTGGCCTTCTTTCGGGATGGAAACCACAAGTTAGAGGGGAAAAAAAATCTGTGGTGTACTGTTTCATGAGCCCTCCTGGCTGCTGAGTAGGCCAGTGCCAAAGGAAATACGGTTTCAGCTTAGGGGAGCTCTGAACGTGGGGCACATCTTGGGAACATGGGCGGGCCCTTCGGGATTTCTCAAGTGTCACATTCAAAAGCTTTTTGAAAGGTGCATCCTTTATTTATGATGGGATCAAAGATGATCCCTGTCACTTGGAGGCAGGTCTAGAACCAGGTAGGAAATGTCCCTATAGCAGATTCATTGAAGGTGAATATTTGGCTTCATGTTACTCCATGAATTTATTTTCCTTTTGTTATCTTCTAAGTTTGAATAAAGTCTTCTTTGAATGTTAAAAGAAAGTGTTATCTTTTACCCTAGCAATTCCCCTTCTGGACATTTATCCTAAGAACAAAATTGTGGATGGGAATGAATATTCCCTAAAGGACCCCCGATGAGTACTTAAAAAGAAAAAAAAAAAGTTAAACAGACCAAAGTTTATCAGCAGGAGCTTGGTGAAATAATCTTACAAATGAGATGTTCAGCAGCCATTACAACTCACATAGTTGAAGATTATTTAATAGCATGAGAAAATCTTAACGAGTTCCATGTGGAAAATCAGACGCCAACATTCTTTGTGAAGTATGACTTTTTCACTTTTGAAGATTTGGATGCAGCTCTATTGAAGTATATAATTGACCTTCAATAAACTGCACATTTTAAAGTGTACAATTTGGTATGTTTTAACACACATATACATCCATGAAGGCATCGCCACAATCAAGATTGTGTATGGGAAAAAATGAGAACCAAGACCTTTCATGTAAAGGTATAAGATCCCAATGATGAATGTAACTGTACTGTATTCCTAAAATGTACCAACAAATTTTTTTAGAGTACCAATAAACTCAATGAAAAAAAAGATTGTGAATATATTAATCTCCTCAAAAGATTCTATGTGCCCTTGGTAATACCTGCTCCATCTCCCCAAAAGTATGATCTGCTTTCAGTACAGTAAGACTTTAGCAAAGAAGAAAAGTGCATTGGCAAGTAGATAGATGATTAAAACAGAAAAGGATATCTGTCATAAGCACTTTAGAAGACAATTATGGAGAACTTTTTTATTTTTTGTGTTAATCTGTGTTTGCTGAATTGTATATGATAAATGCCAGTTGCTTTTGTATTAAAAATGATCGTTGGGATTATTAAAATGTCTGTCACAGAGCCTGGGATTTAGCTCGGTGATGTCGCCGCCTGCCTCACAAGCACAAGGTTCCGGGTTCGATCCCCAGTGGAAAAATAAAATAAAATAAAATAATAGAATATCTCACAGATAATTCAGAAAGTGAGATAGTGTATAGGCATTGAATAAATGTGTTGAAGTAGACGTTTTCTGGGGGTGATGGCAGTAATAAGAGTGATGGTAGCAGAGGCAATGGCCGTAGAAGTGGTGACTGTGGGGTGACAGTAGTGCTAATGATGGCAGTGATGACTCTGGAGATACAAGTTGACCAGGAGGATTGGCCCAACCAGCAGAGAGATGGTCTCAGTTCTTGATTCTGGGTTCTGGTAAGCAAGTATAGGGCTTGAGCAGGCCACATAATGTCAAGTTGATCACCACCTCCAGGGAGATGGAGCAGAAGGCCTAGTGATGACTGACCTGAGATAAAAGGATAGGAACTTTTCTCTAATTGTTCAACCCAAGAGGTGCCTGCCTCAGAATCTCTGGAGACTGAAGCTGGGACTTCCTTCCTCCCTAGGGCCCGCCAGGGGCTGCGATTGCTGTAAGAGCAGGTCACGTGGCAGGGCTTCCTGTAGGCTGTTGCTGCCGGGTGTCCATGGCCCACAACCCCAAGTTGCCACTGCAGCAGTCAGAGTGGCAGCCAGAGGCTTGGTCCATGCTGAGCCCTCCGGAAGGTGCTGGTGAGGCTGAACAAGAGGCCTCCACATCTCAACACCTAGGAGAGCAGGGAAGGAGTTTCACCAGGGTAGAAGATCATGTTGCGCCGCAAGCCCTCCAATGCCAGCGAGAAGGAGCCCACTCAGAAGAAAAAGGTGAGGAGCATCTTTGGGAAACTCACTTTTTCTTTCCCTCCTGTGGGAACTTACTCCTTCCTTCCTCCTTCTTTCTCCACCCATCCCCTCCAAGACTCTTAGTGAGAAGAGCCAAAGGCCATATGTTGAGCCTGTGGTGAGTTCTATTCTCCCAGAGGGCAACAGGACATAATCCAAAGGTTAATAGAGTAACAAATGGCAAAAGAAAAATTTAAAAGTCTGAAATAACAGAGTTATGGGATAGAATCTTAGAAGTTTGGGGTTATCAAATTCAGTATACCACAATGTGATGAAGAATGAAAATTAAGGACCAGACACCTAAACTAGACTTCAAGAATTACAAAATACTCTGCTCAATTTGGAAACTTAACACTTAATTTTCTCTTTCCTCCACTGGTCTTGCCACTGCTTCTTCCTAAGTGTGGCCTCTCAAAAGCCATCTCACTCAAAGATGCCCACTGGGCCACCCAGCTAAGATGCTTCCAGGGCCTTCGCCCTTTGGCCAGGACCAAGACCCTGTTCACTGGGCTCAGCTCTGTTGTAGCTACCTAGGCCACTTTCGATAAGGCCTGCGGTGATTTCCAGACTCAGGAAAAGCCCTCCACCAACTGCGCTAAGATGCAGGGGGCTGTACAGTTTCTTCCCATGTGGGAAGAAAATGTTTGTGAGACATGAAAAATAAAGCCAGGAGATAGTGAGTAGGAGGGGAAGCCGAAGAGAAATAATTCAGTGGGAGAATTTAAAAAAACAGGATGGGAAGCAGCTGAGGTGTTCATCCTCCTGAGGCACACACAGGCCAGCCTAGAAGATCCCTTGAAGGCCATTGCCAGATCTAGATTTCTCTGGTTGGATTTGATTATAGCATGAGATTCTCCCAGTCAACCAGCAAGCTCACTTTGCACATCCAGTGAGACTATAGGACCATTCCAAGGCAGGAGGCCTGAACAAGGTCCATAAGACCTGGATGTAGCCCCATGTCTGGAGTCTCCAGGCCCTCACTCTACCCTTCTAGTTTTCCCTGGAGCTCAGCCCAGCTATACTATGGGAGAGTCCCCTTGTCAGGGGAACAGCTCCCAGGCAGAGACTGAGACAGCTGAGAAACTGAGCCCCAGGGCACTGGGGTGTGCATCCTGCCCTGTCTCTTGGGTCCTGAATGGCTGCCACTTCCGGCTGTACTCTCCCCCCACCCAGCTGCCTCTCTATGGTTGCAGTGATGGTGGACAGGGGAGGGAGGAGATTTGTGAATCTTCACACAGGGCCTGTCATCCTTGTCTAAACTTTGCACAGTGCTAGGCCCAGCAGACCTGCCATTGGCTGCCACTCCTCAGTGAGTGGGGCCACTTCCTCTTGCTCTCTGGCTCATGGGGGTAGGAAACAGAGACTGCTTTACAGACACTGCTAGGCCCAAAACCACAGGGGAGCTGAGCTGGAGGAAAGCGTCTGAGAAAGAGCTGACACTTTGATACTGAGATCCTGTATCACCTCAGATGAAGGTGCTCAAGGCCACACAAAAACCAGAAGTTTCCTTCTTTTTCCTCAGTTTCAATTATTCAGATTCTGTGTTTGGCAGGTGGGCCTCTAGAATCTTGTCCAGGCCTCCTCCAGGAGAAATAAGGCCCATGTGGCACTGTACAGTCTATATCCTTCAAAGAAGAGCAGTCCAGGCAAACCCCACTGTAGCCTTGCCAGAGCCTGTGCCAGCCTCCTGAGCCAGGATGAGCTTGCTTACATACCCTAAGCCCCATCCTGTGAAAATTCCATTGGAAAAGCCAAGCTTCCAGAAGGGAAAGACAGCATCTTTCTGAGACCTGGAGGCATTGACCCAGCACCATCATTGTTTGCACAGTGGCCATGGACAACTGAGGAGATACAAAGGCAAGGAAGACAAAAGGGCAAGGAAGGTCTCCCTCTCTCTCTCCTTCTCTCTCTCTCTCTCTCTCTCTCTCTCTCTCTCTCTCTC